TTCAGTAACCACTTCTCTCTTAGTTCCATTATCGCCATCTTCTGTCTTCCTGAAACCTTCTTCTTTTATTGAATTAATCTAAAATTTTACTAAAGTCTTCTTATTCTCTTTCATTTCAATAACCACTTGCGTCTTAGTGGCATTATCGCCATCTTCTGTCTTCCTGAAACCTGTTCTTTTATTGACCTTTCTCTTTACTAAATAAAGTCTTATTCTCTTTCAATTCATTAACCTCTTTTCTCTTAGTGGCATTATCGCCATCTTCTTCTTCCTGAAATTAATGTTCTTTTTTGACCTTCCCTCTTTTTATTCTCTTTCATTCCAATTAATCTTATTCTCCTTCAAGAGTTACTTATTGCGTCTTAGTGGCATTATCGCCATCTTCTGTCTTCCTGAAACCTGTTCTTTTATTGACCTTTCTCTTTCATTCCAATTAATCTTATTCTCTTTCAATTTCAAGTAACCATTTTCGTCTTTCATTGGCAATTATCGCCATCTTCTGTCTTCCTAAAACTTCTTATTCTTTTTCCAATTAATCTTTCTTCTCCTTACTAAAGTCTTCTTATTCTCTTTCATTTTCAGTAACCTCATTTCTCGTTCTTAGTGGCATTATCGCCATCTTCTGTCTTCCTGAAACCTGTTCTTTTATTGATTTCATTCTTTCAATTTAATTTTCTCTTCTTTCCTTTCTCTTTCATTTTCAGTAACCAAAAAGAAGTTAGTGGCATTATCGCCATCTTCTGTCTTTGTTATGGTCCGGTTCCTTACCACGGGTGATAGTCCAAGGTAGAACCAATAAAGAAGAACTCGAACACGGATATGGAATAACACAGATATATTAAAAACAGGAATATATACAGAGAAGTAGAAGTGTTAGTACGAACAATCAGGTTTAGTAGTAATTGTCTGAACGCGACTCTGTTTCGGACTGCCTTCTGACTCGACTGACTGACTCGCTCTCTCTGACGGACTTCTCCAGACTACAGACTGAACTTCGGACTTTAGTCACCCTTCCCCCACCACGAGGTCATCATGTCTTGAAGGCCGGTTTAACGTGGGATATCCGAGCCCGTGGGATCGGCCAAAAATATTCATTCCATTGAACCCGTATAAACGGGTTCAGGGTCGGATTTTCATTTCGAAGAGACTCCGCCCTTCGGCGTAGCCTCGTTCGGGTTCCTCCCCGCCCGAAGGCAGAGATTTCAACCGAAAAGCCGGTCAGCCGGTCGCCCGACTTCAGACTGAACGGTCTTATTTCTCCAGATTACGTATGGGATCTCCATTATCAATTTATGGGTCCCGTGTGCTCATCAGAAATATTTTATAGATGAACCCGTATCAACAATATTTTACCACCCCTCTAATAGACTCCGCCCTTCGGCGTCTTTACCGTTCGGGTTCTCCTCTTTTCTCTTTCAGAGAGTTCAACCGATTCAATCGATCAGCCGGTCGCCCGACTTCGGACTGAACTTTCCTTCCTTCTCTTGAAAAAATCTAGTATTTATTACGTATGGTACAGTCCATTATGTTATTATTTGAATGTCCCATAACAGTTTCTTAAAAAATGTTCTTTTTGAAACCTTTCTTTTCTAAAGTCTTCTTATTCTCCTTTCATCCAAATGTCCTTATTTAAATAGTGGCATTATCGCCATCTTTCGTCTTTCTGAAACCTGTTCTTTTATCGTCCTTTTTTCCTCATTAAATCTTCTCATTCTCTTCAAGAATCAAAGGTAAATTTGGATTGAATTTTAGTAACGCATTATCAAATCTTCTGTCTTCTTTTGTAAAAAAATGAAAATTGTCTTTTCTTCTCCTTCATTTTTCATAAAATCTTTCCCAGTAAACTCCTTTTATGCATATAAAATTTGAACAAACTAACGTGTCCATTTTTGAAAAGTACATTCGATCATACAAAGAATTTATCCTTTAAAATAAGTTGATGAATATAGTAAATTAAAAATCAACATACCTAAAATTAGATTACGTTTATTTTCTCAAGATTTTTCTTTTATTGAATAATAGCCAAACTTATATAAAAAAACTTTTTCTTTTTGTCATTTTTTCTAAATCATGTATTAACAGAAAAAGAATTCGTAGAACAACAAAACAGCTGTCAAGACAATATTAAATATAATGTTTTTTGATTTTCAAGAAAATGACAAGCATTTAATCATCATTCATTTTATGTTTTATTTTAAACTTAATAAATAAAAAAAAAATTTCAAATCAGATTAATTATAGGTTCAGAAAAAAATCAGCTAATTTATTGTTCAAAATAAAAATTCAGGAAAATTATTTTATTTTTTCTTATTTTTAATTTTTTTTTTTTTTTTTACTGCGATGAAAGACAAAAAGGACGTTAATCAGCTATTTTAGAAACAATATAAAAAATCGATTACAACCAATATAATTTCTATTTGAAATACACTAGAGCATTTTACTTACTGAAAATAGTAAATTTAATCATTTGGTTTTTAATTAACGCTAAAACAAAAGGATCAAGTAAGCTTTTACATTTTTTTAAAATCCATTTTAAACCAAGTTATTGAAAGTTAGTGGAGGTGGCGTATAGAAATGTCTTATAGAAATGTTCAAATCTAAGTTCGTCTGAAAACGTGATAGATCCTGTAAAATCCGTAATATTTCTCTTGTGCATGTGATTGTATTTAAATGATTAACATCTTCTGTTAACGTTCTCTTATAATGTTTCAAGACAGAAAATGAAAAAAAGAAAAGAAATATTTTTATCAGTGACAAGCAAACAGTATAACAATCTACATTATCCGTGTTGGACTTTTTCACGAACCTTTGAATCATGTGTCCCATGTAATGAAAAGGAAAATCAAGATTAAAATTTAGATAACCGGACAAACGATATCCCCCATATATATATTCTGGACAAAGCTGTCTACAACTGCTCAAAATTTTAAACAAAATATTTTGTAAAATGTGTTAAATAATCCGGAAATAAAAAATAAGTTTCGAAATATATATTTTGACAAAAAATAACACCAGGGGTCAGATTAAAGGGACCACAATCCAAATAGTTGTTAAAATAATCATTTTACCCTTAACGTGAACAACGGGAAATATAAATATATAAAGAAATAATCATTGGATTTTGTTTTCAGGTACATTTTTTACACTTTCACCCGTAAAAAGGGCCAAAAACCACTCGATGAAGAGAGTTAAAATATAAGTTGCGCATATTTTCATGAAATATTTTTTTTTTTCGGTTGATCCTATCGTTGAACACGTTAAGATTGGGAAAAATCCTCTTTAAATAAATAAAAGTTTCATACAACATTTGAAAAGAATCAATTTCAGAAACTGATAAAATTTTCATAATTTCTTCACCATAAAAATACGAAGGAATGAGGGGGAAGAAAAGTTTGGGGGAATTTTAAAGAAAGATGGATTAAGATTTTCGATTTCTAGGCCGGTAGACATCCATTTCACTGTTAAAAATACTTTGTTGACGTTTCAAATTCGAAAAAGCAAAGCGAGCAGATTTCGGGTTCGAAAATTCCCGACAAAAGGGTGTACGGCAGCATCATGTTAAAACACAGGTTCCTATAAGATCAAATGAATAATAAAACATCAAGATGAAAAAATTATATGGATGGGTGACCGCTTGGGAATGCCATATGCTGTAAGAAAATTTTTTTATGACAAATGAATAAATTTTCTAATTATTAATCGTAGAATCGAGTTTGAAATTCCCGTTCGGTTCATAATATTCAAGACGCGCAAATGAAAAAGGGAAAAATGCATTTAACAATCTCGATATTAACCCCCCAACTCATTTAAAAGTTAATTATTAAAACTCGGAAAATCTTTTCTTCGTTATTTTCAGTTGCGCGCATATATCCTTGGGAAAAGGCATGAATCCATATCTTCTCCCCAACATATGGGTTAATTAGTAAGAATTGTATCACTAAACCGTTATTATCTAAAAGAAAAATCTAAAAAATATTTTCTGGCTTTAAATAACCTGCAAAGAGTTGATAAACCGTAAAAAAAGAATCAATCAATCAATGAAATATTTATTAGCTACATTAGGACTTGTATATATTCTCTGAAATATAAATCTACGGGGTGGTCCGAAAGTCTTGTCATCACTAGATAATATAATTTCCTATTTTTAAATGAAGAAGAATGTTTTAAAATATATCAAAATCAGAAGAGGAAGAAGCTATTTAATGCCATGATGCAGATTTTTGTTTTGTCGCTTTAAGAAGAAAAATGTATTGCTGGTAAAAGAATTGTATTTTTTAAACATTGATAGTTTTTGAGAAAGAAGGGTTAACTATTTGCCCATAACTAACAAATAAAAAAAAGAAACTCTGGAATGTCGTTCCACACTCCTCAAAAAGCGAGGAAAATCAGAAACCTTGCCTTTTCAAGATGGCTGTTTTCAAAAATGGCACATTAAAAGGAAAAAGGGCTTGAAAATTTGATACTCCTAGAAAGAAGAATTGAAGAAAAAGATGGACAGAGGAAAATGACGCAAAACCTATGTAGAGAGCTACAAAGGACATCAAATAGCGGAGAGGCATGATCGCCAACGTCCTGAAGAGACACGTCACAGAGAAGAAGAAGAAGAAGAACAACAAGAGAAATAATAATAAGAAGAAGAAGAAGAAGAAGAGGAAAAACAAGAAAAAGAGGTAGAATAAGAAGCACAAGGAGGAGGAAATGAGGACGAGGATCTTGAGAAGAAGAAGAAGAAAATTTAAAAAGAAGAAGAAGAGGAAAAAGAAGAAAAATTTTAAATAAGAAGCACAAGGAGGAGGAGGAAGATGAGGACGAGGATCTTTTAAGAAGAAGAAGAAGAAGAAGAAGAAGAAGAAGAAAAAAAGAAGAAAAAGAGGTAGAATAAGAAGCACAAGGAGGAGGAGGAAGATGAGGACGAGGATCTTGAGAAGAAGAAGAAGAAGGAGAAAAAGAAGAAAAAGAGGTAGAATAAGAAGCACAAGGAGGAGGAGGAAGATGAGGACGAGGATCTTGAGAAGAAGAAGAAGAAGAAGAAGAAGAAAAGGAAAAAGAAGAAAAAGAGGTAGAATAAGAAGCACAAGGAGGAGGAGGAAGATGTGGACGAGGATCTTGAGAAGAAGAAGAAGAAGAAGAGGAAAAAGAAGAAGAAGAAGGAAAAAAAGAAAAGAGAAAGAATAAATAGAAAGAAGCAAAAGGAGGAGGAGGAAGATGAGGAGAATAGATCTTGAAAGAAGAAGAAGAAGAAGAAAAAAAGAAGAAAAAAAAGAAAAAAGAAGAATAAGAAGGAAAAGAAGGAGGAGGAAGAAGAAGAAGAATTTAGGATCTTGAAAAAAGAAGAAGAAGAAGAAGAAGAAGAAAAAAAGAAAAAAGAAGTAGAATAAGAAGAACAAGGAGGAAAGGAAGATGAGGACGAGGATCTTGAGAAGAAGAAGAAGAAAGAAAGAAGAAGAAGAAGAAAAAGAAGAAAAGAATAGAATAAGAAGACAAGGAGGAGGAGGAAGATGAGGAAAGGATCTTGAGAAGAAGAAGAAGAAGAAAAGAAGAAGAAGAGGAAAAAAGAAGAAAAAGAGGTAGAATAAGAAGAACAAGGAGGAGGAGGAAGATGAATGAGGATCTTGAGGGAAGAAGAAGAAGAAAAAGAAGAAGAAGAAGAAGAAAAAAGGAAAAGAAGAAAAATAATAAAAGAAGAAAAAGAAAAAAAAATAGGAATAAGAAACAAAAAGAAGATGAGGACGAGGATCTTGAGAAGAAGAAGAAGAAGGAGGAAAAAAAAAGAAAAAAAAGGTAGAATAAGAAGCACAAGGAGGAGGAATAAGATGAAAACGAGGATCTTGAGAAGAAGAAGAAGAAGAAGAAGAAGAAAAGGAAAATGGTTAAAGAAAAAAGATTTAGAATAAGAAGAACAAGGAGGAGGAGGAAGATGAGGAAGGATCTTGAAAGAAGAAGAAGCAGAAGAAGAAGAAGAAAAAGAGGAAAAGAAGAAAAAGAGGTAGAATAAGAAGAAAGAAAGGAGGAGGAGGAAGATGTGGACGAGGATCTTGAGAAGAAGAAGAAGAAGAAGGAAAAGAAGAAAAAAAGAAGAAAAGAGGTAGAATAAGAAGCACAAGAAAAAGAGGAGGAAGATGAAGAAGAGGATCTTGAAGAAGAAGAAAGATAGAAGAAAAGAAAGAGGAAAAGAAGAAAAAGAGGTAGAATAAGAAGAACAAGGAGGAGGAGGAAGATGAGGACGAGGATCTTGAGAAGAAGAAGAAGAAGAAGAAGAAGAAGAAGAAGAGGAAAAAGAAGAAAAAGAGGTAGAATAAGAAGCACAAGGAGGAGGAGGAAGATGAGGACGAGGATCTTGAGAAGAAGAAGAAGAAGAAGAGGAAAAAGAAGAAAAAGAGGTAGAATAAGAAGCACAAGGAGGAGGAGGAAGATGAGGACGAGGATCTTGAGAAGAAGAAGAAAGAAGAAGAAGAAGAAGAAAAGGAAAAGAAAAAAAGGTAGAATAAGAAGCACAAGGAGGAGGAGGAAGATGTGGACGAGGATCTTGAGAAGAAGAAGAAGAAAGAAGAGGAAAAAAGAAGAAAAGAGGTAAAATAAGAAGCACAAGGAGGAGGAGGAAGATGAGGACGAGGATCTTTAGAAGAAGAAGAAGAAGAAGAAGAAGAAAAAAAAAGAAAAAAAGAGGTAGAATAAGAAGTTAAATCCGGAGGAATTTATTGTGGACGAGATTTGAGAAGAAGAAGAAGAAGAAGAATAAAAGAAGAGGAAAAAAGAAAGTAGAATAAGAAGCACAAGGAAGGAGGAAGATGATGATGAGGATCTTTAAGAAGAAGAAGAAGGAAAAAAGAAAAAGAAGATACCTAAATAAGAAGCAAAGGAGGAGGAGGAAGATGAGGACATTCTAAGAAGAACAAGGAGAAGAATCAAGAAGAATGATGAGGAACAGAAGGACAAGAAGAAAAAAGAAGAAAAAAGAAGAAGAAAAGAAGAAAAGAGGTAGAATAAGAAGCACAAGGAGGAGGAGGAAGATGAGGACGAGGATCTTGAGAAGAAGAAGAAGAAGAATAAAATAAAGAAAAAAGAGTGGAGGTAGAATAAAAGAACAAGGAGGAAAGGAAGATGAGGACGAGGATCTTGAGAAGAAGAAACAGAAGAAGAAAAAGAAGAAGAAAAAGAAAAAGAAGAAAAAGAGGTAGAATAAGAAGCACAAGGAGGATAAGAGGAAGATGAGGACGAGGATCTTGAGAACGAAGAAGAAAAGGAAAAAAGAAAAAAAAAAAAGAAAAGAATAAGAAAAATCAAGGAGGAGGAGGAAGATGAGGACGAGGATCTTGAGAAGAAGAAGAAGAAGAAGAAGAGGAAAAAGAAGAAAAAGAGGTAGAATAAGAAGCACAAGGAGGAGGAGGAAGATGAGGACGAGGATCTTGAGAAGAAGAAGAAGAAGAAGAAGAAGAGGAAAAAGAAGAAAAAGAGGTAGAATAAGAAGCACAAGGAGGAGGAGGAAGATGAGGACGCTTGTAAGCTTCAGGGATATGGAATTTCAGGACGATTATTTGACAATATAGTCATTCCTGTCAAACCGTGTAATGAAGGTTGTTCGAAACGGATTCTCCTCCAGTTTCTTTCTAATGAATGCAGTTGTTCCCCAAGGCCCTATCCTGAGTCCTACACTGTTTCTGATCTTCATTAATGATCTTTCCAATGTCATCAGTTCCCAAGTAGGCATCTATGCAGAAGACACCAAAATTTACTCCTGCCTCAAAAGCAAATCTATATTGCTAACAAAACTAACCTGGACGTTGGTCTCGAAAAGGACTTCCAATCTGTGGTTGAGTGGGGCGAGAAATGGCTGGTTAAAATTAATGCTTCAAAAAGTTTCTGAAAAATTTACCCACCACATTTCGTACAATCCCCTGGCTCCCATAAGAATGGCTGATGCTCAACTCCATACAAATACATTGAATCAATAGCTTCATCTAGCACAAGGAAAGTTGGTTTATATGTTCGCGTCAGAAAGACTTTCTAGTCTGAGGTCATCCTTCAAATCTATAAATCATTCGAAAAGATATGCATGAGAATACTTTTGCTAAATATGGCCTGGAGCCCTGCTGTTCTTCTCAAGGCCGTCTTTTTTTCCAGAGACGGATATGCAATGTGATCGGTCCTGATCTTCTATCTCGTCTACAGTCAGAAGAAGAGTTTAAGACGTGCCGTTGCTTCCCTCTGTCTTTTTAAAAAATACTTTCACGATTAGTTTCGACGAGCTACATTCTCTGGTTTCCAAACTGCAGGAAATTAAGCGTGCTACTAGGTATGACATCTCAGTTCTACTCTTTCACTGTCGAAATTGTTAAATCTAGCCGTCCCTCCTATCTTTATGCCTCGCACTTCCCGTCTGTGAAACTCTCTTCCTCTTACTTGCTTCCTTGACAGCTATAATTTTCAGTCGACATCTTCAGATGCCTTGATATAATTCCCTATACTTCTCTTCACTCTTTCCCCTATCACGAGTCTTTATTCTTGATCCTGTTTTCTGTAACCCCCTTGCGTGCTAATGACACTCCCGCCTTGGTTGGAGTTAAATGTTTTTAAAAAAAGACAGAAGATAACGCTTGATCTTATATTTAAATTTTTGAAGATCAAAGTTGATTTCGAAGGAATAAGCCGGAAGAGAGTTCCACAAGTGAGAAGTGCGAGATAAGAAACTGTTAGCATAGAGCTTACAGTTATATCGAGCCATTTCATCTTTAAAATGATGAGACATTGCCGTTAATTTGGTATTGCGCTTAAATTCATAAGAGACTAGGTAACATAGAGGAAAGTAAACTTTCTTTTGCAAATATTAAAATATGGCACAAGGCCAAAAGGGTCGATAGGAAATGCTGGTCTTCAATCTGTCTAATCTTAAACTTAGCTAGCCCCAATTGCTGATCTAAACATACCACAGTATTCCTTACATCGTATTCTTATTTACAATTCTTACTACAGTCACCATAATACCTCAGAATCTCTATGAAAACCTAGCTAGTTCCCATATGTACAATTTGTCTGAGAGGGGGGTAAAATAACAACATTTACAAAGAGGAAAGCTCATCAGAAAAATTGCCAAAGAAATTTTAAAAAGACATGGTATAACTAGGTTACGGTGGTGGCAAATGAATTGAAGCCGGATGGAAAGATCAAAAACAAAAAACATTGCAGATTCTTCTTTGAATTTTATCAAAGAATCTCCAGATAGATTCAGGCTTATATATTATATCAGGTTGAAACACCGTTTTATCATACAATCACCACTTTCTTGGTGGTTTAAAATGGCAACATCTTACGTCCTCCTGATTATTTTTTCTTTTCTTCTTCCTTAGTAATATTTCTGTTTTTAATTCCTCCACACTCAGTAACTCCTTCTGTCTTAGTGGCTTTAAACTGCCTTGCTCAATTAATTTTTTTTTTTAATCATCTTTCCCAAAAGAGTTGGAATAATTTTGTGCCGTACGTTATCAAATACTTTTGCTTAATCTCTGAAAGATTGAATTTAAATAAATGAATATTTTTAAATTGTGATCAGATTATTATGGTTTGTGAAGGGTGTATTCGCTGTACATCTTCAAAAACATGAGGTGATGTATGAAACCGTTTTCTATTGATTTTATCAACATTTTCGTATATGTTGGCTTTGAAGATTTTATATATATATATATATATATATATATATATATATATATATACAGTGGGTAGCAAAAAATTATTTAACACATTGGTTTTTCTTACATATCTCAAAAAATAACAGATCAATTTCAACGAAACTTATAGGGAATATTTAAACGAACATTGTCGATAAAAACATAGAAGGAAAATTTAAAACCACTGTTTTGAGAAACATTTATTAACAATAAATAAAATAACCCATATGCAAAAGTATTTAACACACTTTACTAATATTTAGTACAGTAGCCTCTGTTCTGCTTCACAGCCTCCAGTCGTTTCCCATAGTCTTCAACTAGTTTCTTGCATGTACTTGTTGGTATTTTGACCCATTCTTCTTCACAAATTTTTTTCAATTTGTTTAAATTCGATGGATTTCTTTTATAAACTCGTAACTTCAATAGTTTCCACAAATTTTCGATTGGATTTAAATCCGGTGACTGGCTTGGCCATTCCAGGACATTAACGTCATTATTATTAAACCAATTCTTAGTTGTTTAAGCAGTATGCTTCGGGTCAATGTCTTGCTGAAATACAAAATCATGACCATGTCCCAAAGATGTGGCACTGTTCAAGAGTTGAGTTGACAAAATTTGAGTGTATTTTGCAGCATTCATTGTTCCTTCGATGATTTTCATTTTTCCTACTCCATTTGAGGAAAAACAACCCCACATCATAATATTTCCACCCCCATGTTTGACTGTAGGGATGGTATTTGCTGGCTCGTATTCCGCTCCTTTTTTCCTCCATACATGAGTGCGCATGTTTCGTCCGTAAAGCTCAATTTTCGTTTTGTCTGACCAAATTACTTTCTCCCAGAAATCATTAGATTCAATTTCATATTTCTTTACAAAATTCAAACGGGCTTGTACATGTCGGCGTTTCAGTAATGGAGTCTTTCTCGGTGATCTTGAAGTGAGACCTGCACGATTCAGTGATCTTTTAATTGTATCTTTACTAACTTCAATTCCGGCATTTTTCAAATCATTCTGAATTTCTCGACGAGTTGAAAATGGATTTTTCTTCACAGTACGGGAAATGTATCGCTCATTAGCCTCATTTAAGATACGGGGACGACCACTCCTTTGAATGTTTTCAATAGTATCGAATTTTTTCCATTTTCGAACAACAGCACCAACTGTACTCACAAGCAAATTCAAATCTTGAGCGATTTTTCTATATCCCTTACCATCTTTGTGATTCTTTATGATCTTCTTGCGCATGTCGTTCGACAATTCTTTTGTTTTCACCATTTTCTTGCAGTAGTGGCAACAGAATAGCTGCAGTGTCTCAGAGCTGTTATCTAATAGCCAGTTGAGTGTCGTGCAGTGCTGTCATTGGTCGACATATCACATCATATCAATATGGGTAGGAATCATGACGACACGTCTCTTCTAGCATAATATTTGCATTGGTGTTAAATACTTTTGCATATGGGTTATTTTATTTATTGTTAATAAATGTTTCTCAAAACAGTGGTTTTAAATTTTCCTTCTATGTTTTGATCGACAATGTTCGTTTAAATATTTCCTATAAGTTTCGTTGAAATTGGTCTGTTATTTTTTTGAGATATGTAAGAAAAACCAATGTGTTAAATACTTTTGCTACCTTTTTTTAAAGATTCTGTATGTAACTGTTTTTGCTGCATTATTTCACAGATTTACTCGCACATAACCATCAATGTCATTAAACCATTTGTTGGAACGAACGAGTTCTAACCTTATTCACCAATAAAGATTTGGGCGCCAACTTTGATAATTTCTCCAAACCATTCCTCTGGCTCGATTTATTTTTCAGGTCTAACACAATATCCATTTCCATTATATCAATTTTAAATCCAGATCATTAACAGTGCAGTATAAATTAGCCCAAGTGACGTTATAAATAAAATACAGGGAACTTTTCCCTTCCATCTGATGAATCTTGAAATTTAAAATCTTGAAACATATGATATCTTGACCAGTTGAAGTTATCCGTTTTCCCCACAATTGAAAATTTAATTTTATCCAAAATTCTAAGATACAAAGAATTCATAAAAAAAAGTCTGTAATAAAATTGAATGTAGTGAAGGCGACTGAAATATTTTCTTTTTTTTGAAGTAATAAAAAACGGCAATTAAATTTTCACATAGAATAAAAAATATTGATGAATAAAGTTGGGTTTATAACTGTGAAATGATGGATGCAGCAAAAAAAGTGACATACAGGACCTTTATAAAAAAAATTACAAAAGTTTTACGTACCACTACGGAATTCTAAAAAATTGGTTTGATTTTATATAAGTATTAATTAACATGCCTTAAAACCCCGTATTTTTCGAGATTTCTATGACAAAATTCACGAAAAAACATTCCTCAATAAAAAAAAAAAAAAATTCACTCTTATTTGAAAAACCTGTTCTTTATTAATTAATTAATGAAACAATAACTTCATCACTGATATTTACAATATAAATAAACGTGGTTATGTTTACAAACATCTATTCATACTACTACTACTACTATTTATCTCTTTCTCTCTATATCTCTCTCTCTTTTCCAAGACAATCATCAGCATGTCACAATGTGCTAATTGTTTTGAGCACGGTTTTCGACTTGATTTTGCCACCATTGGCTAACAGCCAAAAGCAGATTTCTCTAACATTACTTGTTATTATAAACTTTTCTTGTGCTTGGCTTTGATTGCGCGTATTCAACATTATAGCCGATATTATGGGATGTTCAATAGATCTGACGGTGGCCATCCGTTCAAAACAAATATCGTTGTATTATTCCCAGATATATTTATGAACTTTTGGCTACTTAGTTATCGAAACTTGAATAGATACGTAATTTAATTGAGATCAGCCTAAGTATGTTTGCTTGAAATTAATGGATGATTTTAATCCATTTTGAATAACATTGACCGAGTTATTGGTCGTGCCGGGCATTTATATTTAGTCCCATCTCCGCCCCTGATATATATATATATATATATTAATAAATGAATATTGTTTTAAATAGTGATCAGATTGTTCTGGTTTGTGAAGGACTTAAATTCATAGAGTCTATAAATCAGAGAGGAAAGTAATATTTATTTTGAAAAAACATAAATATGGCAAAAGTTCAAAAGTGGGGATGGGAAAAGCTGCTCTTCAATCTGTCTTATCTTAAACTTAACTAGCCACAATTACTGACCCAAACATACCACAGTATTCTTTACACCAAAACAACACATTCTTCTTACCATTCTTACTAATAGTCACCATATTACCTCAAAGTCTTTATGAAGTCCTAACTAGTTCCCATTTGTCTGTGTGGTGGGGAATGAAATTAACACCTATTAATCATGAAAGCCCACTGAATATTTACAATGATTATAATTTTACAAGAATCTAAACGAAATAAGGCTAGTAATAAAAAAAAACAAAAAACAAACAACAATCCTTAATCGTATACATTAAACTAAATTTCATCAGAATAATTACCTTGAAAGTATTTATGGAAATGACACAGGCAAGCTACGTTACGGCAGTGGGAAAGTGACTGGAGCCAAGATGCCAGGTCAAGACCAATAATATTGAAGATTTTTCTTACGATTATATCAAGAATCGCTAAATATATAGCAGGAGACTTAATGAATTTAAGCGCAGTACTCGATTTTATTATTGAATAGATGTAACCGTAAGTTCTATGCTAAGAGTCTATTCTATCGCACTTCTCGCTTGTGGAACTGTTTTGCAGCATCTTTCTTCTCAGTCAACTTAGATCTTCAAAGATTTAAATGCATTCTCAGTCTTTATATACTGTCTTCTCGCTTTCTCTTTTATTATTCTCGCTCCGTAATAATGGTTTTCATTTTCTTTTTTTATTCTTTCACACTCAGTAACCCCTTGTGTTTTAGTGGCTGGAAATTGGCCATTTCATCATTTGATGAAAGCTTACCGCCAATCCATTACTGCACATAAATTCATAAAGTCTATAAATCATAGAGGAAAGTAATATTTATTTTGAAAAATACAAAAATATGGCAAAAGTCTAATAGTGGGGATGGGAAATGCTGCTCTTCACTCTGTCTTAAACTTAACTAGCCACAATTACTGACCTAAACATACCACAATATTCCTTGCACGAAACTAACACATTCTTATTTACCATTCTTACTATAGCCAACATAATACTTAAAGGTCACTTTAAAGTCCTCACTAGTTTCATATGTACTATTTGTCTGGGTGTGGATAAAAATAACAATATTTAAAAATATTGTGAATAGAGGAAAATTCATCGGAACAATTACCTCGAAATATTTATAGACAATGCACAGGGAAGCTACGTTTCCGCGGTGGGAAAAGGGTTGAAGACTAGATGCCAAGTCAGGACCAATAATATCGCAGATTCTTCTTTGGATTTTATCAAGAATATCTAAATATATACAAGGGGCACCAGACCAAACGTGGCAGCCGTATTCAAAACAAGGACAAATGGTAGAGTTATAAATATGTAAAATACATTCTGGTGAGAAAGTTTGTCAGACAATCATACAAACAGGATATGGAATTAGTAATACAAAACACTTCCTATAAATTCTTCGAATCATCTTTACTCATAATGTGTCCAATTTATGCCAACTGCCATTTTCTGATTCTAACTATAAGTGTCCCTTTCGTTCTTTTTAGTTAAAACTTCCCCGTTACGCACATGTTCAGTCCATGTTATTCTCAGTATCCTCTTGGAGAACCACATGTTTGTTGTCATCCAGTTTTCTGGTCTTCTGTGAGGAATTTGTTAAGTATTCTCTACCATATCAGAAGACGGCTACTAATATAGCAATTCGACATTCATTTCTTTTTTTCTAGCGACATTTTATTGGTTCTTAATAATATATATTGAAATATTTCATTTATCTATCTATCTATCTATCTATCTATCTATCTATCTATCTGACATGTTAGTTTATCTATTTATTTATGCATTTATCCATTGAAATATTTCAATTGCTTTTCTATCTATCTATCTATCTATCTATCTATCTATCTGACATGTTAGTTTAAGTATCTATTTATTTATGTATCGATCCATTGAAATATTTCAATTGTTTTTCTATCTATCTATCTATCTATCTATCTATCTATCTATCTATCTATTCAAACATATCGTTTGTTTTTCTATATATGTATGCATGTATCTATCTTTTCATATATTTTATCTATCTATCTATCTATCTATCTATCTATCTATCTATCTATCTATCTATCCCATTCTCTTCATATCTATCTTTATAGTTATTTATCTATGTATGTATTCAAATATTTCATTTGTTTTATCTATCTATCTATCTATCTATCTATCTGCATCCTTTTGTTATTAATTACCATGTCATAATGACCTATGTTTTCAGCACATGTTAGCCTGCCAGTCTTTTTCGCCCTCCGGACAAAACGAAGCTTGATTTAACAGAAGAAGAAATCGTTACTATTAAAAGTGCCAGAGAGTTGCTGTGTAATCAAGCCTTAAACAATTGGTTCTCTTGAGCAGATCTTCTCAACACATGCTGCATACTGAAGTTCTGTGATGGAGAAAATGCACCGAAGATAAAAGAAAGGTGTGCTAAAATGGCAGCACAAAAGTTTCTTGCTTCAAGCGAAGTGAATTATGAAAACATCATGGATGTCTTAGAACATTTAACACAGAACTGCAAAGGGTGAAAAAAGGAAACACATTCGATTAACTAACGGATTTTTTCTTCTGAAAAATTTTTCTTTCACGGAATTATTCAAGAAAAATGGCTCTCTACAGCTTCCTGTCCTTCGTAATACTTTAGAAATTTTTTTTTGCTATTTCTCCTAAACCTTCTTCCACCATCCATTTACTCAAGATCCTCCTCCTCCTCCTCCACCTCCTTCTTCTTCTTCTTCTTCTTCTTCTTCTTCTTCTTCTTCTCAAGATCCTCGCCCTCATCTTCCTCCTCCTCCTTGTTCTTCTTATTCTACCTCTTTTTCTTCTTTTTCCTCTTCTTCTTCTACTTCTTCTTCAAGATCCTCGTCCTCATCTTCCTCCTCCTCCTTGTTCTTCTTATTCTACCTCTTTTTCTTCTTCTTCTTCTTCTTCTTCTTCTTCTTCTTCTTCTTCTCAAGATCCTCGTCCTCATCTTCCTCCTCCTCCTTGTGCTTCTTATTCTACCTCTTTTTCTTCTTTTTCCTCTTCTTCTTCTTCTTCTTCTGCTTCTTCTTCTCAAGATCCTCGTCCTCATCCTTGTGCTTCTTATTCTACCTCTAAAGGCTGGCATGCCGAACTCTATCAAATGCTTTAGAGATATCTAGAGCCATGGCACAAGCTTCTCGGTTATTGTGAAGTGCTTGGTAAACAACTTCAGTTATGGCCATGAACTCTTCAGCAGTAGATCAGGCATGAATTTAGGCGTGTTATTAGGTTGGCATCTCAGTCCCACCCTTTTACTGTTGAAAAATGTAGCCGTCTCTTCTACTTCAATAGCTTCATGTTTCACACTTCCCATGTGAGGAACTCCCTTCCTCTTACTTGATTCCCTGATAGCTATAATCTACAAGAATTCAAATGCAATTCTAATGGGAGGCAAGGACAGTTTTCTGTGGTGGGTAAAAGAGATAAGTTTTGTTTTTGAAGTATTAAAGTTAACCAGCCATTTCTTGCCCCAGTCACACACAGATTGGAGGTCCTTTTTCAGACCAACGGCCAGGTTAGTTTTGTCAGCGATACCAGATTTGCCATTGAGGCACGAGTAAATAGTGGTGTCTTCTGCATAGATACCTACTTGGTAAATGATGACGACATTCGGGAAGATCGTTAATGAAGATCAGAAACAGTGTGGGGCCCAGGATAGAGCCTTGGGGAACACCTGCATTCGTGAGAAAGAACCTGGAGGAGAATGAGTTAAGGACGACCTTCATTTAATTCATGTTTTTTTTTTGTTGTTGTTGTTCTCTCTCCTTAATAATATTTTTTCCTTTTTATTCTATATTCTCTAATACTCAATAAAGCCATTAAGGCACTGGCTTTATTCCTTTCCTTGAGGCAAAATGATTTTTTTTTAAATCCACTCTACCTGTCACCACTTATTTTCATTCCAATTCTATGTATCATCATGAGTAAAATTTCTTTAAATATATCATAACAGGTGATTAATAATGTGTTACGTATGATAATTTTTGATCTGACGAGACTAAGAACATTCTCGAGTTTTTGAAGT